TCAATATTATGTTTTCATGGCAATCCATCCTTATTAAATATGTCAAGTTTTATTTTAATAAAAATTGCTGTACAGTATTCCACATTATGAGTATACTACATTTTATTTATTATTCCCCTACTGACCAGCATTTTTCAGTGTTTGACTACTAGAAATTATGTGACAATGAACCTTCCTATAGATCTCTTTTTAGGCAAATGTTCAGAGTATTTGGGGGATAGACACCTGGAAATAGAATTGTTGAATCAATGTATTCATTTTTACATTAAGATTACAACCTGTAATATATTCAGTATGTGGAAAACGGTATGTTCTCTTGCTTATGGAAGTTACTCGAGTAGCACATAACCTGCACTTTCTAGGAAATGTGAGAAGGAATGTAGCTTCCAGAATTAGAAGCGGAATATTCTGAAACTTTCAGCCAAGATTTGAACTTATTCTTTGATCTTCAGTGCTTTTCTTCTTCTTTCTTTGGCCTTGTTATTTGGCTTTTGAAATATTTAAAATATGGGTATCTCCCTTTTAATGGGAAACCAAAAGAGAGAAATATGATTACACACCAATTTTATTCAAGGAATTTACAGAAAATCCTGTACATAACTAAAGTGGCTAGAATGTATAAGTCTAGAACAGAATTTGGAGTATGAAATAACCACAGAGACTTATCTAGTCTAGACTTATTGATTTCCAGATCAAGGTGCAGTGAACTTCAGTGATTTATTTAGATTCTTCTAGATACTTACTGAATCTATTGAAACACACAGACTCACAGCCCCTTTGAAGAGAACAGCTTTGTTTGCAAACCACTAGACTCTTTGCAACAGGCATTTAATACTGATCAACTGTAAGCTACACTACAGTGATTTGTTTGTTTAGCTTCTTGCTATTTGACCACATTAACTCACAAAAGCACTGTGCCTCTTGTTCAAAGCAAGTGTGAAAAACCATCTTTTATTAATTATGTACTTATGTGAGAACTGTAGGAGCTCTCTTATTCAGTGTGATTGGGACTGGTAGTTAATTGAAAAGTTGGTTAAAAGCCTTTTCTTGGTGTTTTTTTTGGTCCCTAGATTGGAGTTCTGTATTGTCTTTTATGGATAAACTTACCAATAGTTTGCATGTAAGCCTCTTTGAAATGGATGGAGAACTTAGACCTTTTGAAGCATTTGGGATACAGAATCCTTTTGGATTTTTATGGATTTCATTCCCAATCTTTTCTAATTTTATTGCTCATACCTAGTTTTTTTTTTTTTTTTTTTGAGATGGAGTGTCGCTTTGTTGCCCAGGCTACAGTGAGTGCCGTGGCGTCAGCCTAGCTCACAGCAACCTCAAACTCCTGGGCTCAAGCAATCCTCCTGCCTCAGCCTCCCAAGTAGCTGGGACTACAGGCATGCGCCATCATGCCCGGCTAATTTTTTTTATATATATTAGTTGGCCAATTAATTTCTTTCTATTTATAGTAGAGACGGGTCTCACTCTGCTCAGGCTGGTTTCGAACTCTGACCTCGAGCAATCCACCCGCCTCGGCCTCCCAGAGTGCTAGGATTACAGGCATGAGCCACCGCGCCCAGCCTGCTCATACCTAGTTAACAGTATTTTTTTTAGAAGAAACTCTTCCTTTTGTAAGTTTTCCCAAAGGTTTTGACTTAGTTTTATAATGTCAATTCTAGAATGTCAGAATTTAAACAGTTTTTGTAGTATTTAATTACATTGCATAATTACTATAATAAGCATAACTAGCACTGGCAGATTAGGGAATGAACATAGTTGACCCATAATGTGTAGCAACTCCAGTACGTGAGGAGCCTACGCCATCTGAACATGAGGCAAGCCATAGGCAGATTGGGATATATCAGAGGAATAAAAGTTTGTCAATATTATGGTAAGTCAGCTCAGCAGAGGCTGCTTAAGAGAGCTGCTACTGTGTCCTGAAGGGGCCATTGGGAAATTTTAGGACAATTGTCTTTAGGGAACACAAAAGGAAAGTGTATATGCATTAAGCCTTATTGAAGAGCAGAGATAGGCTCTTTTACTGGATGAATCAAGTTGCCCTGGTGGGAAACTCAAATGCAAATTCCTCTTGAACTTTTCTGGGTAGCTTACTCTACTCTTTTATAATGGTTCCAATACTATATACTGCAGTGTAATATTTTTTGCGTTAAAGGTTTGTTTATAAGCTGAAATTATAAAGCTGATTTAAGAGTCAGAATATTTTCCTATGGAAATGCTTCTTTGTAATTACATATCATTAAGAAATTTCTTTTAATACCTATTTTTCTAAAAATGATATATAAACTTTGTTGTACAATTAAAGGTTTTGATTGAGTAGTTATTACCTGATAGGAAATTAAGTGTAATACTTTAATATTTAAATTTATGACATTGTAACCTAAAAGCAATTTTAGAACTTTTTTGTGGCTTGAACAGGAATTTCTTACCCAGAGCTTTGTATATATGCTTTTTTGCCTCCTTTGCTATTAGCATGGAGACCATAGGTTTTTGTTTTTGTTTCATTTAAATTTTGTCCATGAATGTATTAGGCACCTAAAAGACACTGTTAGATGCTCTTAATAAGAAGAGTTAAAAGCCCTTGTTCTTGCCCTGTTCTACATGCTTTACATGTGGAACTTACTGTGGTTCCCCCAGATATATAGGCATTCAGTAAATATTTTAGTAGTAATGAAAAAGAAATGTTAAACTCTAACTTGCTTTGGAGCAAATCCCCCTAGTAAACATTGTTTCTTAAGCCTTTCACCTGCCCCCTATCCTACTTTCTTAGGGTAAAAGAATTCACTCACCTTTCACCTTAGCTCTTTGTTGTGTCAGACAGAAATCTTGTTTGGAAACAGCATGCTTAGTCCACTGGGGCTTCCTATACTGTCATTTTGTCCTCTGTTGAATGAGAAGGAGGAAGATGCAGAGCCATGTGGGAAAGATTATGATTTCCCTAAGAGTGGGGTGAGGATAATAGCAGAGAGAGGTGGTTGTCAGTATTTCTGATAATTCAAAGGGGAAGAATATCAGGGTTATTATAATCATCTGTGTCCCTCCAATGAAGTCCATTTAAGTCCCCCTTTCATGAAGTTCCATTATGATTCATTTATGTGAAATGTTTAGTGACTAGAATGATAGCAAGTGTTTGGTGTCCCTGTGATTTTAAAAAATGCTTCTTTTTTTCTTCCTAGTCTCCTTATATACATTTGACAAAGCCAAGCAATGTATTGGCACAATGACCATCGAGATTGATTTCCTGCAGAAAAAAAACATTGACTCCAACCCTTATGACACCGACAAGATGGCAGCAGAATTTATTCAACAGTTCAACAACCAGACTTTTTCAGTGGGACAACAGGTAGTTTGAAATTTTCTTTTATTCTTTTAACTTTATAGGTATTCTAATCCTTGCTCTTGTCAAAATTAATTCTTTCTAAAAAAATGAGAGGAACTTTGCATATGAACAGGCATATCCAAGATGAGTGATAAAAAGTGAAGTAGATGTGTTTACTGAACCTCTAGAAGTCTGTTCAGAAAAATTCTAGGGTAGCTTTTATGTTAAAATGTCATATATAATGATAGCAATTTTTCCCTCTGCAAATTTGGGAACACTACAGACATATGTATCTGTAATTTCTTTTCTTATTGTAGGACATTTATTTTGTCTCTGGCATATCTTTTTCTTTCACTAATATAGTTCTGTGGAAAAGTAGTTCTGAACTTTTATGGGTTACAGACTTATTTGAAAATCTTAAGTAAATTATTAATATGTTTATATATTTTGAAGTTTCTTAGGGAAACTGAAACCCCAACTTTCTCTCATTGAAAACATTTTTGATAGTCTCTTTTTTGGACTTCAGTTAATACATTGTTAACTTCCTAGGAAGAAATTCTTTTTAAAATTTTACTTAAAACTTTAATGTGTGAGTTCATAAATTGTATACATAAATAATTATTGCTCTTTTGACCTTAACATAACACTTGTCCCCTTTGTGACTTTCTTAATTATTCCTGACTCCTGCCTTATACCTTATACCTCCTACCTCCATAGCAGTGATTCTCAAAGTGTGAACCTTGGGGGTTCCCAAGACCTCTTCAGAGGGTCTGCGAAGCCAAAACTATTTTTATAATAATACCAAGATGTTATTTGTCTTTTTCCTCTGTTCTCTCACAAGTGTACAGTGGAGTTTTGCAGAGACTACATCATGTGTGCTGGCACAGCACCTTGACTGCTGAAGCAGACATGAGGATCCAGCTGTCTTCTGTTTAGCCAGACATTAGTGAGATGTGTGAAAATGTGGTGGCACCAGTCTTCTCTCCTTTTTTTTTGTTTTGTTTTGTTTTTTGAGACAGTGTCTGGCTCTTTTTGAAATAGGGTCTGGCTCTGTCTCCCACGTTGAAGTGCAGTGGCAACATCATAGCTCACTGTAGCCTCCAAATCCTGGGCTCAAGCGATCCTCCTGCCTCAGCCTCCCAAGTAGATGGAACTATAGGCGCACACCACCACACCCAGCTAATTTTCCTACTTTTCATATAGACAGGGTCTTGCTATTGCCCAGGCTGGTTTTGAACTCCCAGCCTCAGGCAGTCCTCCTACCTTAGCCTCCCAAAGTACTAGGATTACAGGCATGAGCCACTGGGCCTAGCCTCCCTTGTGTTTTTTTGTTTTAGAAAATAAAACTTTTCAAAATTAAAAATATGTTATTTATGTTAACATATATTGGACTTATTATTTTTATTGATTTATTTATTTGAGACAGAATCTCATTTTGTCACTGGGCTAGAGTGCAGTGGCATCATTATAGCTCACTGCAACCACAAACTCCTGGGCTCAAGCAATCCTTCCTTCTTCCTCAGCCTGCTGAGTACAGGGACTACCAGCACATGCCACCATGCCCAGCTAATTTTTCTATTTTTTAGAGAGATGGGATCTTGCTCTTGCTCAGGCTGGTCTCAAGTTTCTGACCTCAAGCGATCCTCCCACCTTGGCCTCCCAGAGGGCTAGGATTACAGGTGTGAGGCACTGCACCTGTCCCAATTATTATTATTTTAAAATTAACAAATTTTAAAGCTTTTTGTTCTAATTTCTAATATGGTGAATATCAATAGATATAATCCATATGAATAAAAGCTCTTTGAGCTCCTCAAAATTTTTAGGAGTATAAAGAGTTCCTGAAACCAAAATGTTTGAGAATCTCTGCTCTCTAAAGTACACTTACTTAGACTGTTCGTGCAGTATCTGACATGGGAAGGTAGGTAAGATAGGGAATGAGAGCAGTATTAGAAGGAATGAGCTACTGGAGTGAAAGGAGTGTTATTATTACTTTTCATTCATTTCTCTAACTGAAATGGCAGAAATCTGGACTAATAAGACTCAAAGAATCTGGATAATACATACATTATAATATCAAGCTTTTAAAAATGGGAACTGAATTACCAATAGAAAAAGGACATAGTACATATTTTTAGGAGTACTAGAATAGGAATGAACCTCAGAAATTATCTTGTTTAACCTTCTCATTTACAAATAAGGAATTTTAGGTCTAGAGAAGGTAATTGATGTACCCATGGCTACACAGCCAGGGACATAGCTGAGATGACAATGAACTAAATAACTATTTAATAGCACCTAGTATGTTCCAGCCACTATTTTAGGTACTACAAATCAGCAAACAAAATAGATACAAGTTCTACTCTCACAGAGCTTACTTTGTAGTTGGGGAACACAAAAAGTAAGACAGAAATGCCATCTGCTATTAAATACTCTGATGTAAGTAAACCAGGATGCTGCATTAAAGAGCCACTGTGGTACTGTTTTGTATTGGATGGTCCAAGGCAGCTCCTCAGGGTGACATTTAGCTGATAATTTGTTGACTACCTGTCTTGCTTTTTGGACTATGCTGTATTTCTTCTGGATTCATGTATTTTGTTGTTGTTGTTGTTGTTTGAGACAGAGTCTCACTCTGTAGCCTGGACTAGAGTGCTGTGGCGTCAGCCTAGCTCACAGCAACCTCAAACTCCTGGGCTCAAGCAATCCTTCTGCCTCAGCCTCCCAAGTAGCTGGGACTACGGGCATGCACCACCATGCCTGGCTAATTTTTTCTATTTTTAGTTGTTTGGCTAATTTTCTTTCTATTTATGGTAGAGACGGGGTCTTGCTCTTGCTCAGGCTGGTCTCGAACTCCTGAGCTCAAGCAATCCTCCCACCTGGGCCTCCCAGAGTGCTAGGATTACAGGCATGAGCCACCATGTCCGGCTAGATTCATGTATTTTTTGACTAATAATTGTGCTTAGATTGCCCAGCTAAAACTTCATTGTTTTTACCTTTGCCTTTAGTTTTACTATCTTAATATAAAACGCTTAGGAGAATGTTTAATAGAAAATGCTTTCTGCTGGATGTGGTGGCTCATGCCTGTAATCCTAACACTCTGGGAGGCAGAGACAGGAGGATCGCTCAAGGTCAGGAGTCCGAAACCAGCCTGAGCAAGAATGAGACCCTGTTTCTACTAAAAATAGAAAGAAATTAATTGGACAACTAAGAATATATTGAAAAAATTAGCTGGGCATGGTGGCGCATACCTGTAGTCCCAGCTACTCGGGAGGCTGAGGCAGAAGGATTGCTTGAGCCCAGATGTTTGAGGCTGCTGTGAGCTAGGCTGACGCCACAGCCCTCTAGTCCAGGCAGCAGAGTGAGACTGTGTCTCTAAAGAAAAAATAAAATGCTTTGATATTTGTCTAATAATTTAAAACCCAATAGCATATAGATATCAATAAACCTGTGAAAGAAAATCCTCCATAATGCAGAGAAGAAATGAATATCTTACCTCAAACCACCGTTCTTTGTACTTATTCTCATTTGTAGTAGTTAGTAGTGGCAGGATTGAGAGGCAGCCCTGCCTGTTGTATTTACTGTTACATCCCAGCACATAGAAGAGGGCTAAGCTTGCAGAAGACACTCTGTAAATGTGTGGTGAAAGAATGATTGAGCATTCAGAAGTTGTCTCTGCACTTGTACAGCAGGCAAATTATACTGGTTATAGAAAAGCATGAATTTTAGAGTCACAGACAGAGGCTTGACTCCTGGCATTTACCATCATTTACTGTGACTCTGAGCACCATTGCTTAGCTTCTTTCTGGACCTCAGCTTCCTTACTCATAAAATGGAATAATAATTTCTGTTTCCAAGAGTGTTTGTGAATATTAACTATATAACCTAACCGCCTGGTATTGGGTACATAGGAGATCATAAATGTTAGCTCTCTTTTCTTCTTGTTAGCCATGTAAGTAGTTTGCCTGTGGAGCAGATTGGAGAGGGGTGTACAAGAGAAAACTGGTTTTCTATATTTGAAAAACATTGATGATAATGTGAGAATCATGCCATTATATTATGAAGTGATTTTTCTCTCCTTATCTCTTTTCTACATAGCTTGTATTTAGTTTCAATGAAAAGCTTTTTGGCTTACTGGTGAAGGATATTGAAGCCATGGATCCTAGCATCTTGAAGGGAGAGCCTGCGACAGGTAAAAGGCAGAAGGTATGCTTTATTTCTAATAATCTTTATTAGGTAGTCTTTATGATGTTAATTGTATAGATTAATATAATTTTCCTAACTATTGTCTCAGTGATTTTTTTTTCCGTATTGTGTACTCTTTAAAGATAGTAGGGGAAAATTGCCTGTATAGCCAGCTTTGTTATTAAAATATAGCTTAAAATATACTTATTTGCAGACCTAATAGTAATTTGAAATTTGTTCATATATGTACTTGTAACTTTGGTTGAATGCAGATTTTTTTGTAAATAAATATTAAGAAAGACATTATTGGAAAGATACAGGCACCGAAATAAAGCACATAGGAATTTTAGAAGGTAGTTAATTATGAGAAAAGTAAATATAACTCAGATGATAATTTGGAATATTTGCTTTACATGTAGTGGCCTCATTTCTACTTTGTTTTTGTCCTTGCTTTGAGGAGTCCAGAAGTCTGCTATTAGATTACTAATTACTGTCTTTCTATACAGATTGAGGTGGGACTGGTTGTTGGAAATAGTCAAGTTGCATTTGAAAAAGCAGAAAATTCATCACTCAATCTTATTGGTAAGATTTACAGTTTTTAGAAGATTCTGAATGAAGTGAGACTATCTCTATTATTAATATTATATGTGACCCATGTACAGTGATTTTCAAGTAAGGAAAGAGAAGAGGAGCACCTCACTTGAGAGGGCTTATCACAAAATCATGGGGTATTTCCTATTTGTCAGATTTATTGATGAAAAAGTTTAAAACCTTCATCTGGATTTGCATTGTCCAATAGAAATGGAATGTGAGCCACATATGTAATTTTTGATTTCCTAGTAGCCACACTAAAAATAAAAAGAAACACTTTTTTTTTACTTTTAGTTTAAAGATAATGTTAGAGTTACAGAAGATTTTCAGACAGTAGCTCAGAAAACTCCTATATGCCCTCACCAGCTTCCCTGATGTTAACATCCTATATGATTATAGTATAATTATCAAAACTAAGAAATTAATCATGGTTTCATTGCTACTAACTAAACTATAGACTTTATTTGAATTTCACCAGTTTTTCTGTTATGTCCTCTTCTGATCCAGCATCTGATTCAGGATCCCACATTGCATTTAGTTGCTCTGTGTTTTTAGTCTTCTTCAGTCTCTGACACTTCCTCAGACTTTCATTGTCTTTTATGACTTTGAGAACTGGTCGGTTATTTTGTAGAATGCCCCTCACCAGGTTTTGCATTAAATGAGATGCTGTCATCACTTCTATTAGTGATTGAGTTAAGTGATGAATGTGCAGGTAAAATCTTTCCAGCAGACTTATAGTTTAGTCCTACTCTTGTATTTTAGCCTGACTTTTATTATATTAAAACAATACAGCTTGGTCTCTAATAATAGGAACTCACCTGAATAATGGTGCAATTAACTGTATAGTAATTCTTATTTTCTTTCTTTCTTTTTTTTTTTCTTATTTCAGCATATTATAGGGGTACAAATGTTAAGGTTATATATATTGCTCATGCCTCCCCTCCCCTCTTGAGTCAAAGCTTCAAGCGTGACCATCCCCTAATCGTTGTACATCTCATTCATTATGTTTGTATATACCCATTCCCTCCTCCCCCCTCCCACCTGCCCGACACCCAATAAATGTTATTCCTATATGTCCACTTAGGTGTTGATCCATTAATACCAATTTGCTGATGAGTACATGTGGTGCTTGTTTTTCCATTCTTTTTTTTTTTTGAGACAGAGTTTCGCTTTGTTGCCCAGGCTAGACTGAGTGCCGTGGCGTCAGCCTACTCACAGCAACTTCAAACTCCTGGGCTTCAAAGCAATCCTTCTGCTGGCCTCACTCGGTGCCTGGAGATACAGGCATGCACCCCAATGCCGGCTAATTTTTCTATATATTCTCTGCTTATTCTTTCTATTTATAGTAGAGACGGGGTCTTGCTCTTGCTCAGGCTGGTTTCGAACTCCTGCCTCGAGTGACCCACCTGTCTTGGCCTCCCTGAGTGCTAGGATTATAGGCTAGGATTACAGGCGTGAGCCACCGCACATGGCCGTTTTTCATTCTTGAGATACTTCACTTAGTAGAATGGGTTCCAGCTCTATCCAGGAAAATACAAGAGGTGCTATATCACCATTGTTTCTTAAAACTGAATAGTGCTCCATAGTATACATATACCACATTTTATTAATCCACTCATGTATTGATGGGCACTTGGGTTGTTTCCACAACTTTGATTGTGAATTGTGCTGCTATAAACATTCGAGTGCAGGTGTCTTTTTTGGAGTTGTCATTTGATCTTTGGGTAGATGCCCAGTAGTGGAATTCCTGGCAAATGGTAGATCTTATCTGTAATCGTTTATTGCTTTCCACAGAGGTTGCAGTCCCACCAGCAGTGCAGGAGTGTTCCTATCTCTCCGCATCCGCGCCAACATTTATTGTAGACTTTATTGATAAAGGCCATTTTACTGGAGATAAGTGATATCTCATTGCAGTTTTGATTTGCATTTCCCTGATGATTAGAGTGTTTTGACCTTTTTCTATGTTTTGTTGGCATTTATTGTCTTTTTTTGAAAATTTCTATTCATGTCCTTTGCCCACTTTTTGATAGGTCGTTTGATCTTTCCTTGTTGTTCTGAGTTATAATAGATTCTAGTTATCAGCTTTTATCGGATGTGTATTGGTGAAAATTTTCTCCCATTCTGTGGTTCTGTTTTTGCTCTCTTGCACAGTTTCTTTGGCTGTGCAGAAGCTTTTAATTTGATCAGGTCCCATTTATTTATTTTTGTTGCTGTTGTGATTGCCTTTGGGGACTTCTTCATAAATTCTTTGCCTAGGCCAATGTTTAGAAGAGCATTTCCAACGTTTTCCTCTAGAATTCTAATAGTTTCACACCTAAGGTTCCAGTCTGTTACCCAGAGTGAGTTGATTTTTGTGAGAGGTGAAAGGTGTGGGTCATGTTTCAGTCTTGTACATGTGGCTATCCAGTTTTCCCAGCACCATTAATTGAATAACGATTCTTTTCCTAAGTGCATGTTTTTGTCTGCTTTGTTGAAGATTAGTTGGCTAAATGAGGATGGTTTTATATCTGGGTTCTCTGTTCTGTTCCACCGGTCAATGTCCCTGTTCTTGTGCCAATAGCAAGCTGTTTTATCTATAGCCTTGTAGTAGTAGTTGAAGTCTGATAAATTGATACTCTATTTGTTTTTATTGCCTAGGATTGATTTTGCTATACGGGGTCTTCTCTGATTCCATACGAAGTATAAATTATTTTTTTTCTGTATCTGTGAAAAATGATCATGATATTTTAATAGGGATTGCATTGACTCTGTAGGTCACTTTAGGTAGTATAGACATTTTAACAATGTTGATTCTGCCGACCCATGAACATGGTATATTCCTCCACCTGTTTGTATTCTCTGCTATTTCCTTCTTCAGTGTTTCATAGTTCTCCCTGTAGAGGTCTTTTACTCCTTAGTTAAATATATTCCTAGGTACTTTATTTTCTTTTTGTTGTATTTGAAGGGAATTGAGTCTGTGATTTGGTTGGGAATTGAGTCTTTGATTTGGTTCTCACTTTTACTGCTGTTGGCATATATGAATGCCTCTGATTTCTGTGTATTGATTTTGTATCCTGAGACTTTACCAAATTCATTTATCAATTCAAGAGTCTCTTGGTTGAATCCTTGGGGTTTTCCAAGGTATAATATCATTCTTCAGCAAAGAGTGAGAGTTTGATTTCTTCTGCTCCCATTTGGACGCCCTTAATTCCACTCTCTTGTCTGATTGCTGTAGCAAGGACTTCCAGCACTATGCTGAATAGAAGTGGAGACAGTGGGCAACCTTGTCTTGTTCCAGTTCTAAGTGGGAATGCTTTCAATTTTTCCCATTCAGTATGTGTTGGCTTGTGGGTTTGTCATATATGGCTTGTATCATTTTTAGGTAAGCCACCACTATGCCTATTTTGTTGAGTGTTCTTATCATAAAAGGGTGTTGAATTTCGTCAAATGCTTTTTCTGTGTCTATTGAGAGAATCATATGGTCTTTGTTTTTGCCTTTGTTTATATGGTGAAAGTAATTCTTATGTTCAATTGATTTAACTATGTTAATATCTACCCCAATAGAAAATAGAGTTTTCTTTGGTTGCATATCATTATGTCTAAGGTTACTTAACATTTGAATGTCTGGCCTCTTTTCTTAGTCCATAAATTACCATTTCCCCTAATTGTTTTCTCTTAATTACAAAATGAAATATTTTATGAAATATGGAGAAGCTGTAAAACAACTCACACACTCTAAAATTGGATTGTTTTAATACAGTTTTACAACTTGATTTTTTTTTTTGCTTAACATATTTCAAGCATTTTAAATACACTCCTACAACATGATTTTTAATGTCTCTACTTTTATTGTAGGGTATATTCTCCTGTTATCCAAGAAATTTATGAAGTGATTTCTTTGTATTACTATTTTATTTGTGTGCACCTTTTGTTATGACATATTATCCCAAAGGAATTGTATAATTTTCATCCAATGTAGGTATTTCTAAATAATCCATTCAAAATTTTCCATTGGAAAATAAAATTGCATAGTATAATAACTTGGCATGTAGTAAATTTGGCCACAAGAGGACAGTAGAGTGTAAGAAAAATATTTTTGATAGCTTCCTAAAGGAAATCTTAGCACCTCAAAACTCTACACATAAAATTACTATCTAGGACAAACTTTCTAAAAATATATTTTAATTTTTAATTGAAAAATAGTAATTACATATTTATGGGGTACAGCTTGGTATTTTGATACATGTATACATTATGGAATGATCAAATCAGGTTAATTAACATATTTATCACCTTAAATATTTATCATTTCTTAGGATAAACCTTTTTAATGTGATATCTTCTTCCCTGATTTTATAAAAACTATATTATTACTTTTTTTATTTATAATAAGGTTACTGAGGTACTTAATTCTTTGAAATAGTAAATGTGGTTCTCTTGAGTTACTTTAGGTGGCACTCTGACATTTAAGTTAGATAATTTTTATCCTTATGAAAGAATTTGTAAACATGAATTTTGTAATCATTGAAGTCTTTAAAATGATTTTAGACTTTTGTGCACAAGTGAATAAAAAGCAAATAAGGCATCAAGCTTATTGAGTGCATCTTCTTAGGCTGAGGGGTTATATACCTAATTACCTGGACAAACTTATTCTAGATAAATATATGTATTTTTAAATATACTTGCTTTAGAGGACTTTAGGGATTATTAGATTTCACTTGCATTTCTGTCAGCTAGTATTGTCTTCATCAGATATGCACATGTTGTTTCATCTAATCAACCAAGTTAGTTCATTTGGTTAGATTAAAGGTTATTATTTTATGGGCCGGGGGTGGGGGGTGGCCCAGGGGGGACACAGTCTTACTCTGTTGCCTGGACTAGAGTACCATGGTGTCAGCCTAGCTCACAGCAATCTCAAACTCCTGGGCTCAAGCAATCCTACTGCCTCAGCCTCCCGAGTAGCTTGGACTACAGGCATGCGCCACCATGCCCAGCTAATTTTTTCTATATATTTTTAGTTGTCCAATTAATTTCTTTCTATTTTTAGTAGAGACAGGGTCTTGCTCTTGCTCAGACTGGTTTCAAACTCTTGATAGATTAAAGGTTATTGAAACTAAGTTCCATGGATTGATTACAGATAGACTACAGCACAAGTTAGCTAGTCATTTTTAAAATGTATTAGTGATCATAAATGGGGACCAAAGTAGGTAACATAACAAAATTGAACCTTTTTATTAGAAAATCAGCGTAGACTATATTGTTCATCTTTGCACAAGGGTAGCTTCTGTTTATTCATTTAGGATGCCTGGGGAGTTCTGTCTTTTTACAGTTAGTGATGAAGTCCTTGTTTCACATTTGATTATATTTGTTTGATACAGGCAAAGCTAAAACCAAGGAAAATCGCCAATCTATCATCAATCCTGACTGGAACTTTGAAAAAATGGGAATAGGAGGTCTGGACAAGGAATTTTCAGACATTTTTCGCAGAGCATTTGCTTCCCGAGTATTTCCTCCAGAGATTGTGGAGCAGATGGGTAAGTTTAAAAGGGAAAATGTGATAAAAATCTAGTATTGTTAAAAAATATTAATGTGATGAAGAATCTTTTTGATAGTTTTGAAATTATTTTTCAGACCCGCTAAAGTATTTTTCTATTTTAACTTGCTTTTTGAAAATATAAACATATGTTTTCTGAAAAAACTTCAAAATATTAGAACTTTAAAAATTACATTATAATATTATGGAGAAGTCGTAGAAATAATGGTTGCTTCATTTTATTGATTTATTTAAGAATGTTTTCCTATAGGATGTATTGAGAAATTTCACCTGACTCTAAAGATCCACTACGGGTCAGATTTACCCTGTGGAATAATAATTAGACTGTTGGCATTTACTATTAGCTATTGCTCCTTTTTACTGTGCTGTTGCATTACCCAGTTAGTACATCTTCATACCTAGTAAATAGATACCTGGCATGTTTTTAAATAAGATAAATTTGATCTAAAAGACAAATGCAGGATATAAATAGGAGCTTCTATATTGCACACAAAGAAATGCTTTACTCATTTATCACTTTTTTCTTGAAGGTTTCTTTAATTTATCTGTATGAAGTGACTTTATTTGCCCAGTGGAAATGTTGTCATGATGACTGTTTTCATATCCATATCATACATTGGAATGGAATGTGAGCAGCAGAATATCTGAGAAAGGAATTTATAACATAACAGCTTCTGGCAGACTATGAGTATAAAAACAGTATTCCAAAAAAATGGAAGGAATACAAATATATTACTCCCCTCACCTCCGTCATTCCTTATCTTTAAATTGCTACTGGAAGATAAAAGTATATTCATCATGGTGGGGATAAGAACTGCTTTCTAGGCACTAAGTACTTGGATTGTATTAGCCTCCTATTGTTGCTAGCTTTTCTGCCTGGTCGCTCACTCTGATAAATTACAGACACAGCACACACCTGTTCGCTGGGTAAAGGTCGAGTTTGGAATTGGATTAAGAGAAAATGACAGAGACCCTCATCACCTGAGTTTTATATATCTTGAAATAGCAATAACATACTTTTTAGCTGAAGGATACAAAGGCCAAGTCCATAAAACACAGAATTCTAATTTGGAAAACATTTTAAAATGTGGTAGTTCACTATCTTGATAATGTGTATTTTTATTCAAGACATGAAAATATTGTTTAAATATATTTTGGGTAAAAGCAAAGATAAAAAGATGATTCCAAATATTCTAAGTTGTTCTTGTGGAATATTTTTACTGGTTTTTAGGACTGAGACCTAGTGCAGAAGGAGGGTAATGATTCTATTTCTTTGAAAATTTATGCTATTCAGCCAACAAGTAAAAAAAAAATAACTGCTTATATAGTAAGTCATTATGTTTTAATTATATTATAAATGTTTTCTCACTGTTTGAAAGCATTAAGAATACAGTTTTACAGATACTAGTCACCTGTTTGTGGATTATGCAGGCCCTCCTGAGGGCCTTGTGTAAGGTTGAGTAGATAACACAAAAAGAAGTAGAGTAAGACTCACATTCATCAATTTGTGACCTTGCTAGATGTCAAAGAGCTTGAAATTAAATCAAAACAGGTTTGGAATCTATTAGTGAATTTAATCTGTTTTTGATATCCATATTGAAATAAGTCAAATTATAGTAGTGTGGTTTTTGTTATTGATGTGCTTTTTAACTAAGGACTGTAGATGTGAATTTTGTGAGTACTTCTTGCCAGAATCATTTCTTATGGATTTATTTTTCTAATATTGTTACACTAAATTAATTAGACAAAAAATGAGTTCTGTCCTTTATTAAAAAAATGTTGTTTTCTCTTTATGGCTTTTTGCTATCAAGAAGCATGTGTTATCAATTTGATTTAAAAGACAGCAAGTATAAAACTACCTTGGCTTTTGAGCTAAATTGAAAAATATTATTTTCTTTATCCTGAATGAAGCCCAGTATCCAGAAAACAGTAAAGCTACCTTTTTTTTAATGGTTAAATGGCTGAGAAATAATTCTCTTGCTATGTGTGTGTCATTCTCTATTTTTCAATAGAGGCTTCTTTTTTCTTTTGAATTTTGGGGGAATTATATATTAAAATATTTTATTATACTTCAACTACATTGTGGTTATAAAGTTTTCATTATGTTTTAATGAAGCTATATAAAAGTAAAATTTGCTACATTTGGATAGAATATAACTAAAATTATACAAGTCCTTTTTATGCATATCCTCTGTTCTTTTACCCTGCCAAGTGAGAACAAAATTGGCTGTTTTCTTCCTCACTCTTTGTTAACTAAATAGAAAAACCTGTATGGTTTCGGCATTCATTTGGACACTAGGTATGATTGGTTAAATCAATTTAGATTTTTAAAAAGATTAGAAAAAATTACGTAGGTTGGAGCTTTTTTGTTTTACTTTAAACAGAGAACATTACTTTCGGCTTGAGACCAAATCATACATCTTTACCATGGAGTCTGGAGTTATATTACTTGGTAAAGAGGAATTTTAACTAAATGTATTTTTTGCCTATATATCAATTTTTCAAATTTATAAAGCGATAAATTTAAAATTTTATTCTCTTCTGTCATTGTGTTTATGAGATTGATAATTATGCTTCTAGGTAACATGGTTCTTTTGCTTGTAAAACTTCATGTTGCCTTTTCAAAATTAAAAATATAGTTTAGGTACATACAGAATGTTGCTGATGAGATTATAGGAGGACTAAATGACTTAACCAGTGACCCCAATTATGCAATAAAATTAGGGATCAGATGAGGTAATATATGTGAAAATAACTGTCATAGAGTTTCCAATTTGTTAGTTTCTATCTTGAAGTATTATACTTTCAAGTACATAGGGCATACCTTCCTGCTTTTGTTATATTTTTATAGAATTAAAATCCAGGAAATCCTTATAAGTCACATAAAGCTCAATAAACTGGGAGATAAAGGCCTGTATAGAAATAGGAAAAGGGATTACTTAAGGGGAATATCAATTTAGACTTTTGTTTTTATTATTGTTTTAATCAGTGTAACTCTTTAGTTTTTCCCTTGTCTATAGCAGTTGGGCTCACCCAAACCCAAGCAAGGTGACTCTTCCTTGGGAGTATATGAAAGCATTAGCAAAGAACACTAGACCTATACCTTATACTTAGTGAATACCAAATAGATATTTAGTTAGCATGTCCTCTAACCCCCACAATAATGGATGTTTAATTAGAAATTACCTTAAACCCGTACTTTGGGCCGGGCGTGGTGGCTCATGCCTGTAATCCTGGCACTCTGGGAGGCCCAGGCAGGCAGATTGCTTGAGGTCAGGGGTTCGAAACCAGCCTAAGCAAGACCACTCTCTACCAAAAATAGAAAGAAATTAATTGACCAACTAAAATATATATATACAAAAAATTAGCCAGGCATGGTGACACATGCCTGTAGTCCCAGCTACTTGGGAGGCTGTGGCAGGAGGATCGCTTGAGCACAGGAGATTGAGGTTGCTGTGAGCTAGGCTGATGCCACGGCACTCACTCTAGCCTGGGCAACAAAGTGAGACTCTGTCTCAGAAAAAAAAACAAAAACAAAAAAACCATACTTTGTGGGTTGGTAGAAAGCACTATTTGAGTACCAGAGTAGAAATGTTAGTATCAAAAGCTGGTATTGGAAAGTATAGGTGAATAAATTCAGCAGGTGATTGCTGTCCTTGGGCATATTCAGGTGTCAGTGGAATTGATACGGTTACCACACTTATTCTCCAGCATGCAGTTTTGTGGAGAGTGCTCAGGATAAATAAATAATTACCTCAGTTCTCGCTGTAGCCCTTTTATTGGCAAAGATAAGAGTTTCTACAAAGAAACTTAATTTTTCCAGCATCCTTGGCAATTCTCTTTAAACTGTAAGTCTCAAAGTAAAAAAACAAATCCTTTTCAATGAACAGTGGAATATTGTTAAAGAATTAGTGTTTCTTAATGTAATCTTGGGAATAGGTTCACATCTATCCAAGGAAAGAGCTAGAAGGAAAAGGGTATAGAGACAGAAGGCTTCAGGATCTGTGGGCTGTAGATGTTCAGGCCACCTAGTGGGGAGGAAAGCCACTTGTTATGGTCTTGTGCCCCCATTCTTTGAAACTGACACTGTGTTCTTTTTGGTCTCCTTTCCCTTGTGCCTCCCTCTGTAAGCCCATTTTCAATCTGTATTTTTAAGGTTTCTTTTGAAATTCAAGAGGAAAGCAACTCTTTTCTGATATCATGAGTGAAACTGCAGTTATTCTATGAAGTAGAGCTGCCAAGAAGATAAGGAGCCTTTCAATCACACACAGACATCTTTCACATGCTAAAAACAGTGCAAATAAAACATAGTGGAAGAAAGGGCACTAAGGTTTTGTGCATGCTATATTTGGGAGAGAGAGAGTTCTTGCTAAGATTAACATAAACACTGACACTCTTAAAATGCATTTTCATACCCCCACTCATGAGGAGAGATTGCATTTTAAATGGGGGTTAAGACATCTAGCCAAACTCCAGGGCTCTGTAAAAGGAACCCTAAGGCTAAAGAGCTTATCTGAAATTTGAAAAAAAGGAGAAAAAATGAAGCTTTCTGACATTCATCTTTTTTCCTTGTATTAGTCATAACTTGCTTTTCAGCTATATTTTAGGTTTTGAATGCCAACCTGACATCTGTTCAAGTCTGCCTGTAATTTATTAGCAGAGGAAAAGAAAGCAGTTGCTCACTAGTTAGAGATGCAAAACTTCTCTCTTCTGATTTTCCACTAAAGTACTTATAGATGATACCTGGATATGAGGAGTGTAATAATTTACTAGTTCTAACTTCAGGTTGGGAAATTTATAGTTTTTTTTTTAAATAGAAGAAGAAAATGGCTTATGACCATGTGATTTCCAAAATTTAGAGACAAAGCATATACAATAAAAAATACTATAGGTAACTTTTTATAAGTTGAAATTTTTTACCTTGAATTAATTTTTCCTTAGTTTTAATTTTTTAAGTTAAATTTATATCTGAATAGATAC